AATCGGATATTAGATTCTTTATTTAATTATAAACATAATTTTGTGAAAAAATTATTAGAAGGTTTGAATTCTTTTTTATTTAATATAAAAATAACTTATATAATTTTATCTAGATATGTGTACACAAATTTCTATATTAGATAGGTTAATATAGCTTAAGTTTTGTTTTATAAAATAAAATAAAAATTCTAATAAATCTAAACCAACAATATTTTTTTTTAATAATTCCCACATAAAGTTAATGTTAGGTTAGGTTGTTTGTGTAATATCAAAAAACTTTTCTGGCATTATGCAGATACATAAACTTCTAGAAAGTTAATTAAGATCAGGCTAAGACTTTTTATATAGTAATATCATTGAGTATACTATTTACAAATGCACCACCTTAGACATTAGCTATACTAAATTATTAAAATATGTTATTGGTTAAATAGGCATAATGGTCAAATGAGTGTAAATATTAATATTTCTTTTCACTTAACATCAATTTCAAATCACTTGCTGCCCATAGAAATAAATTTGCGGTACTTAATAACCTTGTTTCAGAGAATAACTAAGAAACGACATAGGGAGAAAGGAAAGTAGCGTATGACGTCATTTAATGGAAACGACGAATTGAATGCCAAGGAATAATAACAGATAAACAAAAACAGGCTTTTAAATATACAGGTTACAATTTTTTTTTCTTGGAAACTAGATCCCACCGGTTAAAACTGACTACAGATTTGTATTCAGCACCCTCGAAAATAAGGGGAGGCATTTGTGAGGATTTGATCGTATTCCGTTATAGTAAATACTGAATATTAACATTTTATTTAAGATAAATATCGCTATAATTATCATATCTGTATACTGGCATCTGGCTTGTAATGACGAGATTAAATTGTATGGATCCCTGGGTGAGTTGGCAATATATCTTAATGGAGTAATCAAATAGTTGCGATGCAATCATTAAAATGATCTCTCTAATCATTTCTGTATTAATTCAAAACAAGTACCACTTCAGTGATTACTGACTACTAATTTCAAATATTTTCGTAATTGGTAATGTTTATATCATAACTACATGAAAAACAGAAGTGGTCTTTAATTAAATATTTTTCAAATACGTAATTTGATTAAAAATTCCTGTTATAAGAGATTCATATTTACTAAAATTCGAGCTAAAACTTAAGCAACACTATCTTCGTACTACAAAATCGATACATTTTATTTTATTTATTTAAATACTGGAAAACAATTGTCTTGAAATTTACTGAATGTTTCACAATAATAGCTGTTTACATTTTTTCCGTAGGACAAGTCTTCTGCATGTATACATGATGTGCAGGTTAAGCGTCGTTGTCACGTTGTGATGAAACTCCCCAATATTAATACTCGCTATATTTTGAAACCTGTTAATCTTACGCCCCTGTAATAAACAACTTATTCGTTCATTTATTATTATCCTCATGCTGAAGTAATTGTAGTTAAACTTTTTACACCCTGTATTCTAATGCTGATTCCTTAAATATTGTCAGTAGTTTTTGTATTTAAGATGACAGAGTAATTCTGGCCCCGGATTCGGATTCAGCGCGTCAAACGGATCATGGGTCCAATCATTTGAAGAGACCGCTTTTCTTGTTTTGTATTGTTTTGTTTTTTTTTTGAGCTGTATTCTTTATTTTGCCTACTTTTTACCTTAAACAATACCTACTGCTAATTGAAAATTGATGACGTATCTAAAAGTAAGAAAATGTTCATCTATAACAATTATATTCCACACATGACATAAAAAGATAAATAAATATTCACAAAATAGCTAAATACATACCAAACCTAATTAAAAAATTATTTAGGTTGTCATTAAAAAAATTAAAACAAAGTGTTTTGGCAAAAGATTTCACAAACTTCAGTTAGCCCCCTGAAGTACTGCAGAGATACAGTTAAAATTTTATATAACAAAATTTAGTTGGCGGTTTGTACCCGAAAAACAAAGTACGATAGAAAACAAATCGTCTTATTTTTTAATATTCTATCGGCCTCTGAATTGATGACATATTTTACAAAAACACCCTGTACATATATTAAAAACGTAAACATATAAACATAAATATTCTGTTTTTCCTCTTTGATGTGTATATTACGTAGCACATATAACTTACAGAGTACACAAAAAGTGCATGTGCGTACATCAGCTGGGGTAATCACAGGTAATCAGATAATTCATTCAAATATTATTTTATGTTATCCCAGATTCAAAATAATCCAAATATATTCACTAAATGCTTAGATTTTTGTATTATAGACACGCACTGTTTATTTTCATCCACGTATTGCAGTTATGTTAAAATTGCGCTTTTTAAAAACTTCTACTTTGCTTAATACTGTATAAAACAAAAGTACGGCCCTGGATTGTACGGTTAAGCAACGGACCGACTGACTGTGCAAAAAGTGTATTTAATTTATTTATCAATTATTTTCGACAATTACTTCATTTTTAGAATACCTTAAAAGTCGTACCTACATCATGAACACAATACACTGTACTTATTATGTTGATGTGATGTAATTAAATTTACGTTCTGATACGTCTAAGCACTAGATTATATTTATATATTTTATCAATGGCACGCACGGTATGCTTTTTGATAATTTTACACTCATTATATCGCGATGGAAATACCGAGAACACATGTTCAAGGTCTGAAGTATTAAAATTACAGTTTCGCGTAGCGAGGTTCGGATTAATCTGTCTACTATTGTCATCCGACACTGTTCTCTTCCCTTTCGCTCTGCAACAATGACTGGTGAAAAAATAGTGAAACTGGACCAATTGTTGAACGGTTACATTGGCGATTCCAAATCCATCGTTGATACTAAATATTCAAGGTTAACCGGACCCGGTGAAAACTATGGAAGCATCTTGTTGAAGGTTGACATAACCTTAGAAAATAAAAAGGATAATTCTCGAGAGGAACTACACACGGTTGCCAAACTCATACCGGAAGATGAATTCTTCCAAAAAATCTTCAATGTTCAAGTGAGCTGTAAAGTGGAGATTAGTTTCTACGACACTATCGTGCCGACACTTCAGCGGTTCCAGAAGGAAAAGGGCGTGCAACAAGTGATGGACTTTTTCCCAAAGATGTACGCATCCAGGTTAAATTTGAACGACAGCGACACAGTGGACCAAAATGCGGTGTTGTTATTAGAAAATTTAATAGAAGCTGGTACGTAAACTCTATACTATGTATACTGTAAGTACTTATTATATTAAATGTACAGGGTGTTATAAAAGAGAAAAGATGTTAAAGAACAAAAAAAAAAGAAAAATGATCATACGGACATATGCCTGGAAACAATTTATTTACGAGATACGGCAGGGTTTTCGAGATAAGGGAGGTTTACGCAAAAAACAGTTTTTCTTTATATCTTTGTTTATATAAAATATGACTAAAGGTATTACCTAATAAATCTACAATAAGACAAGAACACGAAATAAGAAATAATACCTTTTGGAGAATATATCATTCTTTAAATTTTACGGATATATTACTTTTTGTTCAAATTAATTCAGATTAGGTGACTTTTATTGTTTGCTCGTGTAGTAAACTTATTTAACAGGGTGTCCCACTTAACTTCCCACCCCACTTATCTTGGTTAGTTTTGCAGATATAAAAATTTTGTTGACATAAAAGTTGTAGTGTTTTTTATGAAGTTTCTGTTTGTAGCAACAAAAAAACCATTCAAATTTAAATGTCGATGTGACAGGTAGAACTTATTATTTTTTTAATGGAATATCCCGTAAATTATTACATTTTTTGATAATGGACTAGAAGCTCATCATCTGTATACTGAGACTTATCCTAATCATCTAGTTCTCTTCTTTCTCTTCTTTTTTAATTTACTCTGCTTTTTCAGAAAATGTTACCATTTTTGCGAAAAATTGAGTGGCGCAAAGAAAACCTCCATACCTTCGAATCTATACCCTTGAGTTATATCAACTATCACCGTCCTAATCAAATTGCGCACTCATCAGATAATGTCCTATACCAAATTTGAAATGATTTGGTCAACCCATTTTTTAGATTTTAGGTTTAGCAACATCGAGAACAAATGCTTTAAAAAACATGTATTATATTATTAGGGCAATTAAGGCATTAAACTGGTTTCAAACAAACTCAATTTTTTTTTCTAAAAAATTTTATCAAATGAAATCAGACAATATTTTTAGAAATTTAGGTATACAAAAAATATCTAACCTCACAAATAATAATGTCGATATTGCGGGAAATAACTACTCTATGAACTACAATGCCCCAACTACCACTGAATTACACCTACAATACTAAACAGCTAGTAATAAATAGTTACTCAAAGTAAAAAAGTTGGACTATAGCTCTTGTGTACCTGTCATATCTCCGTCAAAAATGAATATACAAATCAGAAATTTTAGGGGTGTACTATAGATGGGCAGACCTAAGAGAGCACGTAATTTCAATTCACCCCTTCCACCCTAGGGGGTGCGGAGGGGGTGAGGGGTGCTTTTTTAGACGTACCCTATTTATTTTGCGATTTTCGGATTCTACGCGTAAAACTACCCCCGGACACGCGTTCTTGCGGGTACGTCTAAAAAACCACTCCTCACCCCCTTCGGACCTCTTAGGGTGGAAGGGGTGAGTTGAAATAACGTTCGCTCTTAGGTCTCCCCACCTATAGTACACCCCTAAAATTTCAGATTTTTATATTCATTTTTTGACGGAGATATTGCTCAGGTGCCCAAGAACTATAGTAATCGAAAAAACGACAAAGTCCGTACGACGGTGGATTTCGGTTTTTGTGTGAATTCGGCAAGAACACATTTCCGGGAGTAGTTTTACGCAGAATCCGAAAATCGCAAAATAAATAGGGTGTGTCTAAAAAAAACCACCCCTCACCCCCTCCGCTCCCCATCTATAGAACACCATTAAATTTTCAGATTTTTATATTCATTTTTGATGGAGATATGACAGGTACCCAAGAGCTCTCTCAACGGTAAAAAATTGTTATCAATAAAAATAAAATTATTTTTATTGATAACAAAATAAGTGAAAAGGAAGTGTTGTCGGGGCGAGCGTTCGCTGGAGAGTCTTCTTGGTGTGGAGTCGTTCGCATGTATAAGTATCTGGTCCTTGGTGCCAATCTGCCGTGGTCCTTTTCCGGGAACCATATCCCGCGTTGCACATTGTTTCTTGTCGCTTGCAACGGTTAGGCCGTCCGTCATCAGGCTGGTGCTCTTGACGTAATACGGATGGGTCACTTGCGAACATGTGTACCCACATTTGGATAATTACATGTTTGAATTCATTTGATGATTTGATTGAATTTGTTTGAAGTAGTTTAATACTTTTCAGTTTAAGAATAAAAAAATGCATAAATAAATTGTTTACTTTAACTGTTAAACTTTTTTCGCATTTATTAGCTTTTTACACAGTAAATTGTTTAAAAATATGACATATTTGTATATAAATTAAGTGATTTCTTACTTTTACTTAGGTAAACCATTAGTTCATGTTTTACTAGTCTACGTCAAACACCTTCCAAGATGTTACAGGGTGTTTTTAAATGAAGTAGCAAAAATGGTACCAGTGAATGTAGAGCCAAAAATAAGAGGATTGAAGTAAACATACCTTATATGAAAGTTGCACCCCTGAGGCGATATACCTTCTTGAAGAAGGGGATTGAAATTCACATTTTAATTTTCTTCTTTAACATGAGGAATTCTAGAGACACGACACTTGCATCCTACTAATAAAGAGACAACTTTTCAATATTTGTTTGATCATTGACGTATTTTATACAGGAGTGAAACAGTCAACCCCATTGTAATATTTTATTAGAAACTTTTTATATGAAGCAAATTATTTATTCAAAAATATTTATGGGGAAGACTGATTTATTGCGCTACTTTTTATCTCTTGTAATTTCTCGATAAAACCGATAGTTTTCTAGTAAAAAAAAATTAGATGCGTCATCGTTCACTAAAGGGGTAATTGCAAAAATTTGTAAAAATAAAGAAGGCGGAAGTCATAACAAATAAATTGTTATTTATCATATTAATAAATTGACACTTTCTGTCAAGCAATAATTAGTGCCAATTGATTAATTTATTATTAGAATAATTATAGCTGAAGAAGCTATACTGGAACATCTAGAACAAGACTGTGGTACAAGCACAATATAGGTGTCCAGGCAACTGCAAGTTTCTCACAGTCTTGTGTGGAATGTAGTTCATGAAAATCTTTTATACCCTTTTCACCATCAACCCGTGCAAGAATTGAATGACCCTGATTTACCTAACCGCGTGGATTTTTGTCAATGGTACATTAATATTTCAGGCATGACTTAAATTTCCTAATGAATATACTTTTCATCGATGAAGCAAATTTTCCTAGAGTAGGTGCAGTAAACCTTCATAATGTTCATTCATGGTCGGAAGAAAATACTTATGAAATATTTGTTTCAAGGTGTCGACATAATTTCAGTTTAAACGTTTGGATGGGAATTACTTTATACTTTAGTAGGTTCTTTTATTCTTCCACACAGGCTTGGAGCGGCCGAGTATCTTAGATTTTTTAACGAAAATCTTCCAACATTACTTGAGGATGTACCCCTCCATACACGTCAGGTGATGTGGTATATGCACGATGGGGCGCCTGCACATAGTCCACTTGCCGTTAGAGAATGGTTAAATTAAATTTCGTGTCTCTAGCATTGCTCATGTTAAAGAAACAAATTGAAATGTGAATTTCAATCCCGTTCTTTAAGAGGGTATATCGCCTGAGGGGTGCAACTTTCATATAAGGTATTTTTACTTCAATCCTCTTATTTTTGGCTCTACATTCACTGGTATCATTTTTGCTGCTTCATTTAAAATTTATTTATTTTTTTAAACTATAACATGCAGTATGTCGAAAACTATGCTATACGAACTTTTCTTATTATAATAATAGAAGGAAGCACCTCCTAAAATATGTGCATTCATTGGTCTATTTACATTAATTAAAAAAGTTGAATATTTGAAACTAGCATCCAAGGAAATAATGTTTGTATTTTCTCATGTATAAAATGAAACTCATGTATTATGAACAGAACAATATCTCTTTAGTTATCTTACTTGCTTAGATTAATGACGCACTAGTGAAATCTTACTATTATTTTTTAGGTTACAAAAACGTGGACCGTTTTGAAAGCTTCGACCTACCGACAGTCAAAATCGTCCTGAAGGACCTGGCAGCCTTTCACGCGGTTCCCCTAGCACTGAAACTTTTAGAACCCGAAACTTTCCAGTCCAAAATTCGACCGTACTTGGTGGCCTTCCAGCCACCGCCACCGGATGAAGAAAATCCAGACGGCAAAAAATTCACCGATTCCTTCGAAATAGTTTTCGATATTTTGAAGGCCGACGAGGAGTGTAAACCTGTTGTTCCTCTACTCCGAGAAAAAAGCAAATTGGGGCCACAGTCGGATATTCACCAAAACGAACCGTGGGCTACAATGGGCCATGGAGACTTCTGGATCAACAACACCATGGTAAAGTTTGAAGAAGGTAGACCAGTAGCCAATAAAATGGTAGACTTTCAGAATCCTAGATACCTCTCGCCGGCCGTAGATTTGTTCTTCCTGTTGTGGTCTAGCGTGAAATTGGACGTTCTGGACGAACACTATGACAATCTAGTGAAATTTTACCACGAAAACTTCATTAAACAACTCGAGGAACTCCAGTGCGATACCTCTCCTTTTACTTTTGAACGATTCCTGGAGGAATTGCGGCAGGTGGCGGATACCGAAGTGATGCACAACATGTTTTTCACGGTTTTCGTTATTTTTGCTAAAATTAAAGAGTCGGGACCTCCCAAGATGCCACATGAGTTAGAACCAGAAGATGTTACCGAAATAGGCAAGGAGAGGATAATCCATTTCATCAGAGCTTGCAAAAGGAAAGGATGGCTGTAGTATAAAAAATATTAATAAATATTATTAAACCCTTATCAACTTAATTTTCTTCAAAAATCGTTGGTAGAGACTAATGTGACAACACAAATATTCTATTTCGGAATTCGGACAGCAAATTTAAGATTAGTTCAATTTTTAAATAACTTCTTTACTGATCCTGAATTTTTAAAAAAACTTCTTATATAAGATGTCCGGAAACGAATCAGCCATATTTCAAGAGTAGCTTTATTCGGTGAAAATAAACCAATTTAATCAAGATACCTTCTTCTTATTTTAAAAAGTTATGAGTCCTCAAAAACAGTTTTATTTATTTAATTTTTTAATGCAACTTCACAGTCCAATAAAACTTGATGTAATTTTGGGATACCCAGTGATAAACAAAGACTTAAGGTAAGTTCATGCAGCAGCGATTTGCGAATTGCGATTAACGATTTTACGATTTATACAGAAATTTTACGATTACGACAGAAATTTAACATTCGTACATGCACATTCGCGAAAACTAGTTACTTTTAAATTCCTTGTGTTACTTGCCTTGCTATGCCATGCCCCAGTCAAGAAATTTAGATATTCTTGGGTAAACAAAATTAAACAACATAACCTAAACTCACAAATATTTTTGTGATTACATACTCAGGAATTACCAAGACATTCATAAATAAACATTCTTCAACGATGAATGTGATAAATAACAGTGATTATCATTATGTTATTTATTGTCAATGGCGTAGAAGATGATTGCATGTTAATCGCTTGGTTTTTTATAAGCAAAATTCATTTTCATCGTGCATCTGTTTTTTGTATATTAAATTTGAAAACAGAAAATATAGCCAGAAAAGTGAAAAGTTGAAAAGTACTTGCAAAAAACAGGCCAGGCTCCTGTTCGCTTATCACAATTTGATAATGGAAATGAGATGAGGTTACATGACACTAATAAGTATTTTAATTACTTGCGAATGACGGAACTGGCCGGACTGCACATGCGCAGTTTGTCAAAATTATTGCGATAATCGCCAAAAATAGAAACCGTTTCTATTTTCCCGCCCCCTATATTTAAATTTTGCGATTCTCGCAATATATTGAAATGAAGGAATGGATGTCAAAAATATTTTATTTCAACCAATCAAATTGAAATCCGCAAATCGCAAATCGCTACTGCATGAACTTACCTTTACTGTTTGCTTAAAACATAGTCACTAGGAATACATGAAACAGCATTTTTTTTACCATCTTTTTATTGTCTATAGTCACTATTTACTCGCACTGTTTAAAGATATACTTGTTCCATGTCTCTAAAATATAGCTTTTCTGAGACAAAATAGATAACAATTATTTATTACAGTTTCCATTTGCTAACAGCTGAAGTTGTGAATGCATTTTAATCTAACTATACCTAATTTTTTCGCTAAATTTATGGCGGTATTAAATACATTTTTTTTTCATAATTTAGACAAACTTACCTTTTCAAATAATTCAAAAACATTTCAAGGGCTAAATGTTGACCTTTGGATAGAGGTAAATTGATCTATATTGCAAAAACAGTTTAAAATTCCATGAAATTAGATCACAACAACTGAAATCTATTTTGATTGGCTTGCGGGCTTCGGTGACGGTTTAAATTTCATAGCGTTTCGACAAAAAGTTATTCTCTTCAGAAGAAGAATCTCAAAAACTATTTCAATTTCAGTTATGGAAGAACGTTAAAAAATGAAGATGATCTGTTTTTGAAATGAAATAGAAAATACATTTTTGCTTAGGACTAATATTTAGAAATGGTTTAATTTCCAAAATTTCCGGAGTCTTTAGCGATATTGATCCCACATCTCCGCTATTGAATGACATATTTACAAACCAATTGTTACTTTTAATTATACCAATCTTCAACTCAAGTTTTATAATTCTGTCAGATGTCTTCATAGATATTTAGATAATGTGACACATTTTTCGAATTTCAACACCCTGTATCTCAAAATCAAACCATTCCCGAACGTTCCTACGTAGGAATTTTTGATTTTCAATTACCCAAATTCAATTCTAAAATTGGCCGATTAATCTTTAAAGACTCTGTATATTGTTATGAAAATATATAAAATATTTATTTTGTGTGATGTGGTTTTAATAAATTTAATTTAATTTGATTTAATTTAATTTAATTTAATTTTATTTATGTATTGAGTGTTGGTTTTTGGTTTTGTGTCTGTAATTGAATTTTTTTTAGATTAACTGTAAATTGTTTAATACAAACCTTTATTTTATTCACCTCGTATATTAATTTTGTTTATCCCTTGCTAGCTATCACTAAGATATTTGTTTTAATTTTAATCTCAGGAGTCGGTTCTGTAACAATCATTCATAAACTCGCAATGCAGCACGCCAGAAAATAGAGTTTTTACAATTTTATACATTATTTATTTAAATTCATTAAGGAGATTATAAGAAAACAAAATTTTCAACTGGTTGGCTTTAAATCAGAAATGGCATCGTATAAATGAAATTTTTTTTTAGGTTGAACAATCATAAAGAATATTTTGGTTTTTCTGTACCTTTCCTTATCCTACAACAATTTTTTCAATACAAGGACTGGGCTTGTTTCCTTTTTTATTTAAAATTTTTTATGATGTTTGAATTATTGATTGATACTACTGTCACCACTCGTCCGTGTATTGTATTGCATATCTTAACTTATACAAATTTAATTCACATGATTTGACGTTTAAAACTAAGATGAAGAAGAGTTTTTAAAGCTACTTTTTGGATTGCTAGTATGTAAATTTGTGCAGGTAAGTCCTGTTATATTAATTTTTCCTTTTCTAAGGTATACTGTATTAATAGTTTGTTATTTGTAAGGTATAGCTATGAATTAATACTTTAGTGCACTTTATTTTGCTATTTTTAGGTACCTGTTGGTTACTGGGTACTTCTTTCCTTGTTGGAAACGCTGACGATGTCTGTTGTACCATTTATGGGCCACTGGAATACCTCTCCGGATACTGCCTGATATTTGTTGCAAAATTTTTCTTCACTGTCGACTTTCTTTATGTGGATTTTGAAGACAAACGATTTTCGATGTTACTAGTAAGTTTTAATTTACTTCTTGACTGTTTTTTCTTGAATTATTTAATTTTTGTTGGAGCTACTTCTCCTCTCTAGCTTTTTACCAAAAAACCAAGCCGTAACTAGTAAATAAACATTTGTTTTTTCACCTTCTGGAAATTTCTAGTGTTTATTTTTCCTTAAGGTCCCTTCACATAAATTCCAGTCTTTGGGCGTCCTTTTTTCACAACACTTTCACTGCACTTCTTATACCTAATACATTTGTTACAATGTCCTTTTATTTTTAACATATAAATTTATTACTTATTATTAAATATTCCTTATTTTCTGTTCTTTTTTCTAGGTCATTTTCTGGTACTTGTAAAGCCAACTTTAGTTTTGACATTTGATAAAATTTATAATTTAATTTGACATTTGATAATAAATTTTCATATTTGACTTCAGTTCATTTAAGATATCTTCTCTACAGTTACTCGTCTACCCAAATTATGCATATCAAATTCATCTATGAATATTGAGCTGTCTTTTGATATATGTCACTCTGGTTTTATATTATGTTTTCTCATAGTATTTCTTGTGAACAAGTGTCGCTGTCATGCATTCTTTTAAAAATTTATTTTATATTTGTGAATTAAATTTAAAATTATCAATTTAATACTATGTGATATCCTTTATAATTACTTCTTTTATATTCAGTTTTTATATTAACAATTTTATGCTATTTTATTGTTTGCTATATTAATAATTAATTTTTATTTTTGGACTAAAGTTCGGTCAGGTAATTTTTCAATCGTGATTTCGGTTTACATTTTCAATTCATTACAATATGTATACATTATCAACCTTATTCCATATTTAAGAAATGCTTGTATTTAATTTGCAGTATCAATGACCTCTGACATTGACCCCGTTTAGCTAACGATACCACTACAGGAATATGGTTAGAGCCTACTTTTTGTCAGGTGAAAATGATGCTGTTGCAAGCAGACGATGTCAGATGGATTATCTCGACCTATCAGAACCGAATAAGAAAATGTTTGTCTCAATGGAGCTTTCTTATCTTGATATTTGCATTCGTTAGTTAAGTCAAAAATATCCCCAAATATTTCCTTTGAAGTTATGCATGTATTTTATTGTCGTTAGTTAAAGTTAAAATCTCGGATATAAAAATACATTTTTAGGAATTAAAATTTTCTTCATAAATTTCAAATCTAACTTGGTAATCCATAATCAAGGATTAACGGACGCAAATTAACGGAAGTTCCTCTTTTATAAACAATCGCGATTATCTTCGAAACCGTTGATTATAAGTAGGTATGGGAAACCCCTATATCAATCGACGCAGAATTTAATTCTATGACTAATAAAATTGTTGGTGTTCCAACCTTTGAAGATTACTGTAGTGGACGCAAAATTTTGAGGACCCTGTGCATAGCTGGGTCAAATGAGGTACATTATCTATGAATTCATAACATATACTACTAATAATGCAAGTATGACATTTCTAGCTATATGGACGTTAGAGATATTTTATATTAATCGTTAAATTAAATTAAAAAAAAAATCTAAATATCTCGAAAACTATCAATTTTCAAGGCATAGATGTAGTGACAGAAGTTACTCAAAACAACTACTAAAATCGATAAATGATATATAAAGTGGGGTATTCCATTTAAAACAACGGAGATGACGTCATTTACGGCGAAATCGGAAGTACCGCACACTTGAAAATATTTCACTTAAAAAAATGAGTTGAACCCAGATAGGTGTCGAAATTTCAATCCTCTATTGTAACTAGAAGTTTAAAAACTAGAAAAGACAATTTAAGCTATTTACGTATAAAAATTTGGCAAGCATCAAAAAATTATTTTTATACGCATTTTTTACATAAGGGTGGTTGTCGCCCTTAATACGGCCCGGGTATATACAAAAAGATAGGGGATTTAGCAGAAAGAGGTAATTTAGAGAAATTTAACAGACATCATGAAATAGTAGGTAGGTACTTATATAAATTTACAATATTCACCTAAGGGCGGTATCCACCCTTAGCTATGAGGATTGGAAATATATACCCCGTATATTAATCCGATTTTCGAGTCATTTGAATATATAGATGTTGAAAATTTTAACAGGCATTACCATATGAACGAAAATTATGTGAAAAACAGTTGCTGGGAATCCGTTGCTGTATTCACATCCGTA